AATTTGGCCAAATGACCAAAAAAAAACCCTAAAACCCTACCACCATTAGATCTGTCATATTTTAAAACTAGTGGTCAAAAATGTATGGCAGTGGGGGGGGGGGAGTTAAGGGTCTGTAAAAGCAGTGTTACTTCCAAAAACGTATGAAGAGATAAAATGTCCCCTCCTGCTGTACAAAAAGATTATAATGCAGTTTTGTTTACCATCGGCATTCAACCTCTTACCAAAAAATCTGGTTTAAATCCTCAGTCTGAAATAATGTAGACAGTAGTAGCAACTGGATCCACTGGAGGGCGGTAGAGGCTTTCGTTAAAAGCCTCTCATTGGTGCACATCCTTCTGGGCATTTCCGGGCTGTTTTTGCTGCGTTTTCCTACACATTCTCCTGCTTGCAGGATCCAAGTGTGTTGAAACAAATGTGTATCATGGTCAAGGATCGGAGAAATGTTGGGTTCTGGATCGTAACATCTTTGAGCAACAGAAGATAAATGGGAGGAACCGACGCGGGGCCGGAAAATTCCACTGTAGGAAGACAGCAAAGAACAAAGTTGAAGCATTGATTAAAGTAGAGAACATCTACTGGGATTTACCAATTGCTTAGCCTGCCTCCCTCTGAGGATGTGCAGATACATGGGAAGATGGCGCAGAATAAAATGGATTCCAGTGCTTCCATTCCAGACCGGGGCAGGGGGTAAGACACGGAAATTGCAACCGTCTGGCCTGTACCACCACCACTGGGTTTTGATCTGGTACATTTGTACCCCGCCTATCCTCCAAAGAACACAGGGTAGTGCTCCCGCCCTCCATTTTGTCCTCACAACCACCCTGTGAGGTAGCAGCGGCTGAGAGAAAGTACAACTGGCCCAAGCAGTTTCTCGTTCATTTCAAACAATGGCCCGGGGCTGTAGCCAGGGGTTTTTTTTAACTTAAGGGGGCATTTAAATAAGTCAAGGGGCACCCCCAACCCCCCCCCCCGGCTGTGTCAAGAGTGACAAGAGAGTATAGAATCACAGAATGTTAGAGTTGGAAGGGACCTTGCAGGTCATCTAGTCCAGCCCCCTGCACTCTGCAGGAGCATAGCCGAAAGCCCTACATACCTACAACATACCTGAAAGATGGTCGTCCAGCCTCTGCCTGAAAGCGTCCAGCGAAGGAGCATCCACCACCTCCCGAGGCAGTCTGTTCCACTGCTCAACCACTCTTACAGTGAGGAAGTTTCTCCTGATACTTAGCCAGTATCGACTCGTCATTTCCACCCATTAGCTCTAGTCTTGCACTCCGGAGCAAGAGAGAATAGATCTGCTCCATCTTCTACATGACAGCCCTTCAAATACTTGAAGACTGCCACCATGTCCCCTCTAAGCCTTCTCTTTCCCAGGCTAAACATCCCCAACTCTTTCAGCCTTTCCTCGTAAGACTTGGATTCAAACCCTCTCACCATCCTGGTTGCCCTCTTCTGGACACGCTTGAGCTTGTCAACACCCTCCCTAAAATGTGGCGCCCAAAACTGGACACAGGACTCCAGGTGAGGTTTAAAAAAGCAATTGAGCGGGGGGGGGGCGTGCAGAGCAAGATGGTGGCTCAGCGCAGCCATGACGCAAGAGAAAAATAAACTGGCTGGACGGGAAGTCAGGAGGCCTGGGTGGTAAGTCAGGGGGGGTCCAGCCCCAAGATGCCCCACTGTAGCTATGGGCCTAGAAAAAAACCTAGAAAAAAACCCGGAAATATCTTTCTCTGAAAACTTAGGTTAAGCGGCTTTTGGCTTCAGAAACTCAGATAAAGGAGGCCGGAGGTAACCCCAGTGCCGGTCACACCGTTAGGCCTGCCAGTTTCAAGGCCACAAGAATCTAGGAGGCTGCACTCTTCTTCGTGGCGGAGACCCCGGGTGGGAGAAGTCGTTTGTTCGGTCTGACCCAATGCAGCTGCAGGGTGTTCACTTTAACTGGCAAACCCCATCTCATTGGTGAGTAGAAAAGAGCAAGAGTCCAGGAGCACCTTAAAGACGAACAAAATTTGTGGCAGGGGAGGAGCTTCCCTGAGTCACTGCTCACTTCTTCAGATACAGCGAGAATGTGAGTCCATCTGTCCTATATTTTGGAAAGTGGAGCGATTTCAGTTGCCGAATGACATTAGCAGGCAAATGACAATAGCAGGCGTGATTGGATTCAGTGTGATATGCAGAGGGGTAGTAGAGGGGTAGAAATCAGCATTGGTAATGAGACAGGAAACCCAGGTCTCAATTCAGTCCAGGAGGATGCATGGTCTTGCGCTTCCTTATCAGTTGCAATTCAGCAGTCTTTCTAATCTCCCTTTGAAATTCCTTTCAGAGAACTGCCACTCTTAGGTCAGCAACTGAATGTCCTGGAAGGTTAAAATGTCCCCCCACTGGTTTTTGAATGTTCTGGTTTCTAATGTCAAGACTACGTCAATTTATTCTTTGTTGTAAGGACTGGCCTGCTTGTCCAATGTAGAGGGTGGAGGGGCACTGCTGACATGTGATGGCACAAATCACATTAGAGGATGAGGAGTCAGAGCGCCTGTTTAACGACAGACTTGATTGGTCAAGTGACATCATCTCCTATAACATTTGATTGGTTAACTAGAATCAGGCCAATGCACGTCATTGGGTATGGGACATATCTCTCATTCTAGTTTTGTCCCGTGTCTGGATTACATCTGACTTTGGGACCCTTCTTGTTTTGTATGGGTCATACCAACAGAAACCTTATCTTGGACTTTGGAACTCTACTGGCCTCAGTCTTACAGGGTAACATCTGGATCTTGAGCCAGTGCTTGTAAATGTGCTTAGTTTAGACTTGAGCTGTATTACTTTCACCCTCACTGTTCACTCCTCTTTCATCAACTATTCCTGCACAAATTTCATAATAAAACACACTACTATTCTTTTGTGGTGTTCTTGAATCCCGGAGGCTTCTGCCTGAATCCAGTCCTTGAGCCCTGATTGGCTACAGCTACCCGATTGTTTGGTGGAGCTCACCTTGTAGGCATTCTACCAATGTAGGCTGGTCCCCAATCGCCACCCTCTGTCCCCCGACCTTGGAGAAAAGAGGCAAACCATTGGAGAGCAAGCCCCTGAATCCCCACATCGGCGAGGCGGCGGGCCAGCAACTGGTGGTCGACCGTATCCAACGCAGCCGACAGATCTAACACCACCAGTGCCGCCACGCCACCTCGATCCAGATGCCTACGGAGATCGTCCGTCAGAGCGACCAGCACCGTCTCCGTCCTGTGGCCTGGGCGAAAGCCGGACTGGAAGGGATCGAGGATGGAAGCCTCATCCAGGTAACCCTGTAGCTGTGACGCTACCGCCCTCTCGATAAGTTTGCCCAAATAGGGCAAATTGGAAACCGGCTAATAGTTGGCCAATTCGGCTGGGTCCAAAGATGATTTTTTCAAGAGAGGATGGGCCATCGCTTCCTTGAGTGCTCCGGGGAATCGTCCCTCAACGAGGGACTTATTGACAATCTCCCGCAGTGCACCTCGAAACCCCTCGTGGCCTGCTTTAATGAGCCAGGAGGGGCACGGATCAAGGTCGCATGTGGTTGGGCGCACCGATACGAGCAACCTGTCAGCTTCCTCCAGGCTGAGTGGGTCAAAACACACTACACCCGGCACCAAAGACGTGCAAGGGGCCACCGAACTTGGGTGGGACTGATGAAGTGCATTGTGGAACGGGAGGAGTTCCCTTAGTCCCTGCGGAAGACAAGACAGAGCAGGGGCCGGACACGGAAGAGACAACGGCTGAAGGCTTGTGAATCCCTTCATCCAATTCCGCCCCACCCCATTTTGGCCCAAGGCGTTAAAAAAACACAGGAGACGAGGCCGTCCAAGGACAACGTTTTTATTGCTACCAGGAGGCTTAACTGAGTCTGGCCGCCGAAAGCAAATACCTTCCAAAGGGCTGCGGAGAGAACTTTGAAACGGAGAGAATCCCGAGAAGCAGAGCAGGGAGGCTAAAGAACGGAACTCTTTGGGGAAACCTTGGCGCTCGCCCCTCCCCCTCCCCGGACTTCTCGTTAAAAAGCGACGCGAATGTCAAAATTGAAGGAGGGGGGGAGAGAAGCAGAAGGGAATCTTTGCTTGATCCTTCACGTGCAGCGAAAATGCCCCCATGCGGACGCCAGGCAATGCCGCCGTTCGTCATGAACGTCCTTGTTTTCGCTGCACGAGATGGGGTCACTGCAATGTTACCTTTTGGCTTGGGCCGTCACTCAGAGTGCTGCCTGCTTTGGGTAAGCCATTCAGACCTGCCAACTCTTGCCTGAAGGTGACCTAAAACCAGAATCTGAGGAGAAATTCCCCAGGACCGGCGCATCTTCAGGCTTCCATTGACACGGCTGTCGTTTTTTTGGTGCCGGGCAGATACCAAGCAGGGCCTCCCCCCTGGCCCCCCTTTAATTCCTTAAATTTTAAATGCAGATCTAGGTTTAAATAACACATTTTAAACACCAAAGTGCTAAATGATAGAAAAGGAGAGTTTTGCGTTTTTTTAAAAAACGAAAGGAAAGGTTAATCTAAGTAATCAGTGCAGAAGTACAGAAAAATCATGCACAAGACAATCAGAGAGCTGCTTCTTCTTCTTTTTTAAAGGATTCAGGAAAGGAAGTCCTCAAAACGATGCAAAACTCAGAATCTGGAGAGGTGGCATTGCTGGAAAATTAGAACAGGGTCCTTTTTTTGCACATCGTGTGAGCTCTCCAACACAGCAGATGGGGGGGAGGGGGGTACAATACACAACAATAGATTAAAAACATCGGAACAGACAACACGAGAAAGAAATAAAAAATTTTCTGCTACTTTTTTTGTGTGGTTTTGGGTCTTTTAAAAAGGTTTTTTTATATACTTTTTTGTTTTTAAATACTTAAATAAAGGGTGAACTATCATTAGCCGCACAAGGTGGGGTTTGGGGGGGGGGGGAGGAGAGGTATTAAACTCTGATACTATCCTTCTTTTGTATGCTTATAACAATCAGAGCCGTAAGGTACCGCCTACGCTCTACTGGCCAGCTGTTGCCTGATGTTGCACGCGCACGAGACATAGCAGCTTTCCTCCGAAGGAGCGGGGGCGGGCGCGTGACTACATGACAGACACGGGCTGCAGAGGTGGGCAGGGGGACACGCCCCCGCCTTGCCGCGAGACGTCAGTGCCGCAGGCCGAGGCGGCCTTCCCTTCCAAGGCCACCCCTTCCAGGGCGTTTTCCTCGTTGTAGAGCCGCTTGATCCCGTCGTAGAAGTCGTCCACCTCCATCTCTTCCACTTTGCGCTTGGCCGTCGCCAGCTTGCACCTGCCGGGGGCCGGCCGGCGCCGGCACAGCGGAGCGGAGCTGCGGCTTGGCACTTCTGGTCTGCGGTTGTCCTTGGGGTCTGGGCCCGGGGCGGCGGAGGAGGAGGGGTGGAATCGGAGGGCTCCCGCCTGGCAGGTCACCAGGTTGTGCTTCAGGGGGCTGTAGACGTAGATGGAGTTGGGCGGCAGGGAAGGCGGCAGAGGGGAAAGGTGCTGTGCCACGAGCTCCCGGCAGTGGATCAGCTGCGAGCTGTCCATCTGGGACAGAGGAAGGAAGAAGCAGAAAGGAGGGGTCGGTGAAGGAGGAGATGATGACTGGATTTATACCCCGCCCTTCACTACCCAAGGGAGTCTCAGAGCGGCTTAAAATCTCCTTTCCCTTCCCCTCCCCACAGCAGACACCCTGTGAGGTCAGTGGGGCTGAGAGAACTCTGACTGGGCCTAGGGCTGCCAACCTCCAGGTGGGTATAGAAAAATATATAACACCATTTGTAATAAAGGTATACTTACGGTAAATCTATTTTGTGCTTTTTATTTTTTAAATTCTGTACTATTTTATAAATACTGGTGTCAAGCAGTGCTCCCTCTAAGCTGTGGAGTCTTGTGAGCAAAAGTTCTACTTTGTGAGCTACCAGCATTAAAGTTGTGAACAGGCGATCTGGCTGCTGCATCAATTAGTTTGCTCTGGAGCCAGCCTTTCCTGAACGAAGACAAAAAGGCGTGAGCCAGAGGCTAAAAAACTGTGAGCTAGCTCACACTGACTCAGCCGAGAGGGAACACTGGTGTCAAGTATTTCAAAACACAGATTCACCACAACGATAGATCAAAGAGCAGGTTGAACACTATGTACACTACGTACAAACATTCAAACAGCACCTTGTCCATTTGGATCAGTGTTTGTGAAACTGACAAAGCGCTGACTGAATGTTTGTACGTAGTGTACATAGTGTTCAACCTGCCCTTTGACCTATTGTTGTGGTGAATCTATGTTTTGAAATACTTGACACCAATATTTATAAAACAGTATAGAAAAATAAAAAATAAAATAAAATAAAAAGCACAAAATAGATTTATCTTATTACACACAATGTTATATATCTGTCTGTATCTTCCTAACACTTGTGACCCTCAGTTTCTGTACTAACCTCTAGGTGGGGCTCTGGAGATCTCCTGCTATTACAACAGTTCTCCAGACGAGAGAGATCAGTTTCCCTGAAGAAAACCGTTTGGGAAGATGGATTCTAGGCCTTTGCACTCTGCTGAGGCCCTGCCCCCGCCCCAAACACCGCCCTCTACAGGCTCCGCCCCCAAATCTCCAGGTATTCCCCCACCCAGACCTGGCCACCCCGGCTGGGCCCTGGATGTATCAGACTGTCCCCCCCCTCCTCTGTGCACACAGGGCACACACGACCCACCCAAAACATCAATGCCCAGTAGAAGAACACACATGTGCTAGATGTCTGTGCACTTTTATCCAGAGGCAACGGGGCTCACTCCCAAGTTAAGTGTTCACAAAATTCCACCCGTCATTTCCAAAGGTCTATTTATTTATTTGAAGAAGAAGAAGAGACTGGATTTATACCCTGCCCTTTACTATCCGAAGGAGTATCAGAGCGGCTTAAAAACTCCTTTCCCCTCCCCACAACTGTTGTGTCTGTTGTGGGGAGGGGAAGGGAATGGAGATCGAAAGCCACTCTGGGACTCCTTTGGGTAGTGAAGGGCGGGGTATAAATCCAATCTCTTCCCTTCTTCTTCTCTAGAACCAGAAAGAGTCCTGCCCTCTTGCTACCAGGCCAGAAGTTTAACTCGCCTCCCTGTCAAAACAGCTTCGAGCTCAGGCTAAGTGCGAGACTGCCCTTCCAATGGGAAAAGGGCCGGTTTCCCACAATGCCCTGGGGCCGCCCGCCGCAGCCTCACCTGTGCCTTCTGGAGCAGTTCGATGATGAGGGCGAGCCAATCGGGGATCAGTTTCTCCACCTCCAGGCTGACGATGGCCAAGGCCAGCAAGGAGCCTTTGAACTGCAGGAGCTGGTAGCAGGCCAGGCAGCGGAGCAGCTGCTTGGTGAGCAGGGCCACGTGCTGGGAGGGGTTCATCTTGGGCAAGGGGGTCAGCAGCTGCGGCCTGGTGGACAAGGCGACTGCGTGGAACTGGATTTCGGGAGGGGGACAAAAGACAGGCGGGGTTAACCCAAAAAGGGGGACTCAGAAGGATTGCTGTGCTGGGCAGACAGAGCCACCTCTTGCTTGAGAACCCTGGTGAGGAGCAATCTGGCTGCTGCATAAAGTAGTCTGCTCTGGAGCCCTCCTTCCTGAGCTGAGACAAAAGTGTGTGAGCCGGAGGCTAAAAGACCGTGAGCCGGCTCACGCTAACTCAGCTGAGAGGGAACGCTGATCCCCGCCATCTCCAGCTAAAAGGACCAGGCGGTAGGTGATGGGAAAGACCTGAGACCCTAAAGAGCCATGGCCAGTCTGAGCAGACAATAATGACCTTGATGGACCAAGGAACTGATTTAGTATAAGGCAGCTTCTTGTGAGAGGATGTCGTTTGGCCAGGATCTGGAGGGGTTTTCTTTTTCTTTTTTGGCCATCTTCTGGGCCTGGAGCAGGGGTCACTGGGTGTGTGTGTGGGGGGGAGGTATTTGTGAATCTCCTGCCTTGTGCAGGGGGTTGGATTAGATTACCCTGGAGGTCCCTTCCACCTCTACGGTTCTATGACGGCCACAGGCTTTAAAAGCGAGATTTGGGCCCAGTAGCACCTTAGGGGCCAACAAGATTTTCGGGGCATCAGTTTTAGAGAGGCGACGCTCCCTCGGTTAGGTACCAAGGGAGAAGGGACGAAGGGAGCTTTGACTCTCGAGACGTGGGAGCCGCATGACGGAGTGAGCTCCCGTCTCTCGTTCCAGCTCCTGCCAACCTAGCTGTTTGAAAGCAAGAAACTGCAAGTAGATAAATAGGTACCACTTCGGTGGGAAGGTAGCAGCGTTCCGTGCACCTTGGAAACGTCTTCGGACAGCGCCGGCTCTTCGGCTTGGAAACGGAGATGAGCACCGCAACCCTAGAGTCGGATTCGACTGGCTTTCGAGCAAGGGAACCTTTACCCTTTACCTTTTCAGGTGCTACTACTGGACTCAAATGTCGCTGTTGTCCTGCAGACCAACACAGCCATCCTCTGAAACAGGCTTTAAAGCGGTTTCATAAGCTTTGAAACATCGCTTTTATTTGGAAACCAGCGATGGGAAACATACCACCAAGAAATGCATTTGCCCCTTTAGCAAGGAAAGTGGTGAGGAATGGTTCCATGCGGGAGACGCCACCAAAATTAAACCATTACATGAGAAATGCCTGCTTCCCTGGCCCTCGTGACTGAACATGGTACTGAATGACTCCATAAACGGCACTAACTTCTATGCCTAATTGTGTGTGTGTGTGTGGTTGAGATCGAACAGATGAACTTGTCAGGGAGGCGATGTGTCCCTGGGTTGCACAATCCATACGTGCCTGGAAGGAGTAGCTATACTCCTTCTGGGCAGGGATGGAACACTTTGTTCCACAACATTATTGGATGTAGATTTCAGGGCAGACAAAAGAAATACTGCTTTACACGGAGAGCGATTAGAATGTGGGATTCGCTGCCAGAGGATGTAGTGATGGCCACAGGAACAAACAGCTTGAAGAGGGGATTAGATAGATTTAGGGAGGATAACTCTATCAGTGGCTACTAGCCATGGTGGCTGAAGGGAACCTCCACGTTCAGAGGCACTAAGCCTCTGAATCCCAGAGCCAGGAGGCAACATCAGGAGAAGGCCTCGGCCTCCAGAGAAACTGGCTGGCCACTGTGTGAGACAGGATTCTGGACTAGATGGACCACTGGTCTAATCCAGCAGGGCTCCTCTTATGTTCTTATGTTGCTTTATTCACACAGTTCTCAAGAGTCCTTGATGGAAAACCAAGGGCAGGTCTGAAACCACTTCCAAACAATTGCACAGGCATGCCCCCAAACAGCAGCAATTCTCTTGGTTTTGATTTTATTTTAAAGAGGAAGGTGCAGAGAAAGATTTTGCTTTCCTTGGAAACAATGCATTGGGGGGGGGGAGAGATGAAGCAAGGGGGGGAGGGGGAACAAAAGATCCTGACCAAAGGGTGCAAATTAAGTCCCAGGAGGGGCAAAGAGCCATAAGGGGTTATGATATGTAATATTGTTTTATTGTATTTTATCTATTTAATCCAGCATTAGCCGCCCTGAGCCGCTTAGAAGGGCGGGATATAAATCTCAAAATAAATAAATAAAATAAACGATGTCTACCCTTTGGTCTCAGCTTCCAACGTTTCCACTAGACAAAGCCATGAAACAAACGGCCACCTTCAAAACATAAGGGCTAAAAACTTTTTTTTAATGGAAGGCGAAGTTCCCAGCATGCTCAGTTCTACGCCCATTTCCTGCACTGAGGAGCCGTGTTCCCTCCAAGCTGAGTCAGTGTGAGCTAGCCTCCGGCTCACGCATTTTTGTCTGAGCTCAGGAAGGCTGGGCTCCAGAGCAAACTGATTTATGCAGCAGCCCAATCGCCCGCTCACAACTTTAATGCCAGGAGCTCAAGTCACAAAGTAGAATTTTTGCTCACAGGACTCCACAGCTTAGAGGGAGCATTGCCGAGGAGGAACACGGCCACAGAAAACACTTTTGAGTTCACTTGACCCCAAAGGCCCTTCTTAGGTAATGCTGCCTGGCAACAGCCGTAACAGACATTCCCACCCTCTCCTCCAGCCTCCAACGTTTCCAGCCCCCACGGAGGCCCCCCCCTCCCTTTGCCTCCTTCCCCCTTCCCTGGGCACCTCCTACTCTCTCTTCCTGTCCTCCCCTCCACCCCCTCCCGCGACACCAGCCACAGGCAGCAACCAGAAGCGGCCTGAACAGCATATTTACAATGTGGAGGAAATCCAGCGGGGTGGCCGTGTGAAGGTCCCAGTTCAGTTTATCCAGAATGATCTTCTCCATTCGGCGAATTTCTGCTGGGGAACACCCACAGAAGCTGTCTCTGGCCAACACTTTCAGTACTGGAATCCTCTGGGGGAGAGAAAGAGCACGGAACTGAAACAAGAAAAGGCTGAGAAGGACGCGAACAACGATACTTCAGTGAACGTTCCCAGGAGATGAGGCCAAAGCCACAGGAGGGACTTGCCTTGGTGAAGCTCAGCGGGACTCGGCCTAGTCGGGGCCTCGAAGCCTCCCAGGAAGCCTTTCGATGCCTCCGTCCGTCTCACATTCAAAGAGAGGAGGGGGCAGCGAACAACCGGCCATTTTTAAATGCACACAAGGGCCGGGAAGCTCCTAGGGACTTGGTTCAGTGACCCACTGAGCCCCCGGCTGGCTCTCAAAGCGTCTCCAAGGAGACGCCCTGGCCTGATCATGCCTTTGCCCCAGTAAAAGAACTGAACCTGGGTCCTCAGTGGTCAGGAAACCTGTGCTCTCCCTGGCAGCCTCCTGGAGAACCAAGTGGGTATCTAAACATTCTCCATCAAGTCCCACTTCACCAGGAGCCCTGGCCCCTACCGGCTGGAATGAGCTCCCAGGTGAGATCAGGGCCCTGCGGAACCTTCTGCAGTTCCGCAGGGCCTGTAAGACGGAGCTCTTCCGCCAGGCTTTTAGTTGGTGAAATACATCAGATAAATTGTGGTGCAATTTCTGTGTATCCAGTCAAAGCCTCAAAAGATGTCACCTGTCCCGTTTGGGTTCCAGATATTGCTCAGATCTGGTCCACCAAAGGGGGGGGGGGGGAGGCAAGGCAGCAGTGACCACAAACAAGTTAAGTGCAGTTTTCCGAGACATGCGCCCACCATTCAGCACCGTTGCTCTTCACCCTGGAGGGCGAACAGTTACCTCATCTTCCTCGATAGTCTTGGCGGCAAGGAAGAAGCAGCTGATTGCAATACAGTTCAAGTACTTTGGACGGGCCTAGAGAGAGAGAGAAAGAGAGAGGAGGTTACACAATCCGGATACTGGCTTGCGAGAGTAACTCCGCCGCCCTCCCACTGTCCATAAGAGGCGGATTGCAAACACTGCAGATCAGAATCACTGGGTTGCACACTCTTCCTTTTAGATAGATCAAGGTGGGTAGCCGTGTTCGTCTGACTGCAGCAGTAGAAAAGAGCAAGAGTCCAGGAACAGCTTAAAGACTAACCAAATATGTGGCAGGGAAGGAACTTTCCTGAGTCAGCACTCACTTCTTCAGATAGATCAAGATGGGGTAGTTGTGTTTGTCTGTAGCAGCAGAAAAGAGTAAGAGTCCAGTGGCACCTGAAAGACTAACGCAATTTGTGGCGGGGGAGGATCTTTCGTGAGTCACTGCTCGCTTCTTCAGATAGATCAAGATGGGTAGTCATGCTAGTCCGTCTGCAGCAGCGGAAAAGAGCAAGAGTCCAGTAGCACCTGAAAGACTAACAAAATATGTGGCAGGGGAGGATCTTTCGTGAGTCACTGCTCATTTCTTCAGATTCTTCAGATACCTTTAGAAGTGAGCAGTGGGTCACGAAAGCTCCTCCCCTGCCATGAATTTTGTTAGTCTTTAAGGTGCTCCTGGATTCTTGCTCCTTTCCTTTTGCAGCTCTCAAGAAAGGTGAAGTGTCAACAGGTGTCCCTTTCGGAGAGATCTGGCAGCTCCCCAGAATACAGGACAGATGGACTCACATTCTTGCTGTATCTGAAGAAGTGAGCGCTGACTCATGACAGCTCACCCCCTGCCACAAATTTCATTAGTCTTTAAGGTGCTCCTGGTCTCTGGCTCTTTCCTCTTCCTGTCGGAGCTCTCAGAGGAGGTGGAGTGTCACAGGTGTCCCTTTCGGAGAGATCTGGCAGCTCTCAAATTAGGGCAGCTATGCACTGTTAAGGTTCTGCGGTGGCTCAAGTGGTTAAGACGCTGAACTGCGGGCTGTGGAAGGTCAGTAGTTCAGCTGTTCGAGACCCGAGTGTGCCGCATGACAGAGTGAGCTCCCGTCTCTAGTTCCAGCTTCTGCCAACCTAGCAGTTCGAAAGCAAGAAATTGCAAGTAGATAAATAGGTTCCACTTCAGTGGGAAGGTAACAGCGTTCCGTGCGCCTTGGTGCTTAGTCATGCCGGCCACATGACCACGGAAATGTCTTCGGACAGCGCTGGCTCTTCGACTTGGAAACGGAAATGAGCTTTCGAGCAAGGGAACCTTTACCTATGCACTGTTAGTAGCCCAGTTACAAGAGCTAGTTTTTTGTCTATCCAATAAGAGGGAGACTCCTTTAACCGGATTGTACTCAACAAAGAGAAGCAAAAAGGGATCAAAGCCCTGTGTCCCTTTTGAGATTTTATTTTAAAAAAATTAAACAAGATAAAAACAGCAGGATAAGGAACAAACATGAACAAGCACGGTTAAACAAGAGCAGTCTTTTTGGCTTCATTTTAGGCTCTCCGTCTCGAAAAACGGTCATCTTTTCTAAGCAAGAGTTGTTTTGGCTTCTGGACAAACGAGGCAATTTCGAGCATCCTGACCTTACACGTTACACAGATACAGCATCCCGACCTTACACGTTACATGTTGGGAAAAGAGCTAGGGCTCAGTGGGAGAGCCTCTGCTTGGCATGCAGAAGGTCCCAGGTTCAATCCCCTGGCTTCTCCAGTTAAAAAGGACCAGGCAGTAGGTGATGGGAAAGACCTCTGCCTGAGACCCTGGAGAGCCACTGCCAGTCTGAGTAGACAATACTGACCCTGACAGATGGTCTTTTTGTATCAGGGACTCCTTTGCATATTAAGCGACACACCCCTAATGTAGCCAATCCTCAAAGAGCTTACAGTAGCCCCTGTAAGAAGAGCTCCGTAAGCTCTTGGAGGATTGGCTACATTAGGGGGGAGTGGCCTAATATGCAAAGGAGTTCCTGCTACAAAAAGAGCCCATAAGGCCACTTCATATGTCCATATCTGTTCCTCACAGTTCACCAGGCTGAAGTGAGTGTCTCAGAGGTCAATCTGGAAATCTTTTGAGACCTAGAAAGGCTCAGGCAGCCAGACTGCCACGAGGGGGGGGGGAGTGGCTTGTGGCTGACTGCAAGATATTCCCTTGTGAAAGGCAGACCCTACAGGGCGCGAAAGCCATCATCTCGTAGTTGGTACCCCAGAAATGCCCAGAGCAGGGCTGGCATGTGGCTGGCTCCGCTGCTAGCAACAAAGATCTATTGAGAAGAATCAGTGGAGGGGCCGATGCAAGAGGAACCTTAACGCCTGACCACATCAAGAGGATCATCTGACTCCAATTCTGCCTCTGTCTTATGGAGACGGTTTTTACACACTGCTTCTGTCCAAGGGTTTGTGTTTTAATGGCACATCCTTTAATATTGTGGGTTTTTTAATTAAGCCGCATTGAGCATGACTCTGAAAAGGTGGCATAGAACTATTCTAAATAAGTAACAAGTAAATACGGAGAAACAGAGTGGTTTCCAGTCAGCAAAGGTCTTTTATACCCCTGTATGTCCAATCTGCGGTGGCTCAAGTGGTTAAGACGCTGAACTGCAGGCTGTGGAAGGTCAGTAGTTCAGCGGTTCAAGACCCGGGTGCCGCAAGACAGGGTGAGCTCCTGTCTCTAGTTCCAGCTTCTGCCAACCTAGCAGTTCGAAAGCAAGAAATTGCAAGTAGATAAATAGGGACCACTTCGGTGGGAAGGTAACAGCGTTCCGTGTGCCTTGGTGTTTAGTCATGCCGGCCACATGACCACGGAAACGTCTTCGGACAGCGCTGGCTCTTCGGCTTTGAAACGGAGATGACCACCGCAACCCTAGAGTCGGATTCGACTGGCTTTCGAGCAAGGGAACCTTTACCTTTACCTATGTCCAATCTATATGCAGAACATACCATTAGGGAAACTGGATTAGATTTAGAAGAAGGGGGAGTGAGAATTGGTGGGAGGATGTGAGGCAAAGCACCCTGATTTCCCCTAAGGGTTAACACGAAAACTAGCAGCCTGCAGATGTCCGTAAGTGGGCCTCCCTGCCTACACCATCCTTGTCTCCTTCAAGGCCGGATTCAAGAATGTGGTAATTGGCTATTTGTGAGAACCTGTGTTCAGTTCTGTAACTAAATGGGAGGGAGGAGCAGGAGTAGATGTTGTCATCTTCTGGAGGGTTCTATCAAGCGAGCTCCCTGATTGGGTTTGGGAGACCACCTGATGCCAGATGGCCAAAGACTATAATTAAGCCATAGGCTAGAGGGAAGCCATGCTGACTTCCTGATTCGACGGGGCAGTGGCTCTGACTATGCCAAGCCCTACTGCGATGGGTTGCTATGTAGACAACGCTTAAGCCTCTAGCTTGGACTCGGATATTCTAAAAGGTGTGCCATCTAATACCAGATATTGAAGTATGAGAGAAGTTGGCTTTCCTTATTTTCCTGCTGCAAGATTGTAGAGACTATGTTTGTCGAAGGCTTTCACGGCCGGAGTTCATTAGTTGCTGTAGATTTTCCGGGTTGTGTGCCAATGACAATGCCAAGACCACACAACCGGGAAAATCTACAGCAACTAATTGTAGAGACTGCAGCCCAGTGATATCTTATTTCTTAATGTATTTAATAAACCTTCATAGATTTTACCAAGGTCTGGTTTCTCGTGTGCCGATAACCTTGAGGAACGACAGGTCCAAGTGCTGCTCGCTTTCCCACGGGGTAGTGACTCAGAGGGACCCAAACTTGGGTCCTTGATGGAGGAACATGAACAGTCTGAGAGATGCAGCTGTTACCGCATCACAGGCAGAAAACAGTGGAGACGTGAAATGATTCCTGATGAAGGTTAACGCAGAAAGTACTGAAGCAGGATTACAGCCGAACATCAGGAAGACAAAAGTAATGGCTACGGAGGAATTACACAACTTTCAGGTTGATGATGAAGGAACTGAAATGAGCAATGGATCCATAAAGTATGGGACTTATGTTAGAAAATTTTTCAAGTTATAATAATGAAAATCAAACAGAATGTGAGATATATAGTCCTTTGAATATCTGGTATCCTATCTTGGAAAAAATATCGGTAAATAAATTTGATTGGGAAACAATAAAAGAAACCAAATATCAGATGATGTTGTATAACTAAAGTAGGTTTCCTACACAAGAATTGTGTTTAAAATCAAGAGTCAAAATGGCTTATTACAATGATAATATAAGGCATGGTTGTACTTAGAATATAGGGGATTTACACCTGAATAGTTTATAACCTAATTATTGTTATTGTTATTATGTCTATAATATCAAGTTGTTGCTTGCATTTCTTTTTATACTCTATCTGACTTTGGTATGTACTGTTGTATATGAAAAATGTAATAAAATTTATGTTAAAAAATGAAGGAACTGAAATGGTTAAAAGATTTTCTATTCCTCGGCACGAGGAACTTAACGAACATGCACACAAACAGAATGCTCTGCTGGGTTACTCTCACGCAGCAGGTTTTTTTCTTATATTCACCCCATTCCAAAAATGTGCCCGCCGGGATGAGACACAGTGGGCAGGATTCTGCCATACACTGGACATAACTCGTAATGAAGAGAAGAAGAGAAGAGATTGGATTTATACCCTGCCCTTCACTGCCCAAAGGTGTCTCAGAGCGGCTTACAAACTCCTTTCCCTTCCCCTCCCCACAACAGACACCCTGTGAGGTAGGTGGGGCTGAGAGAACTCTTGACAGAAACTGCTCTTTTTCAAGAACAGCTCTTATCAGAACGACAGCTTGCCCAAGGCCATCCAGCCAGGTACAAGTGGAGGAGTAGGGAATCAAACCCGGTTCTCCCAGATTAGAGTCCGCACACTTAACCATTACACCAAACTGGCTCTCTTTTCCTGCTGCAATGAAGGGAGAAGAGAGATAAGGGATCGATAGAAGGGCTTTTTAAAAAAAAGAACAGGGTGTCAGAACTCTCAAGAGGGAAATGAAGTTTTCAATATGTACGCTGAAAACTCACAAACTTTTAAACATCTATAAAAGAATTTTGTCGAAGAGGTTCTGGAACTCCATTCCAGCACATTCCCCCGGAATAAAAAAAGATCTGGCTACCCCATCACACACTTCTTTGGGAAGAAAATTCTGCTAGCAATGCAAGGACGAAATACGTGCACAATCTGAAAACCAGAAACAGGAGAAAACAGATCTACAGCAGTAGGTGCACAGAGAAATGGGCATCTCTCAAATCTCAAACCCTTGGGACGATGCCTTCCTTTCTGCCCAGACAAATAAGTCATGCCCCAATGGAGACAGAGGGGTGGTGGTGGGGAGTTTCCGGGGATCCTCCGGGGACCAGAGCAGGAAGAATGAAGGGGAAAGGGCCATTTTCAGTAGACGAGTCTCCTCAAGTCATCTAGAGATTAATCCTCGCCAGATGGTGTGACTTCATGCTCCGGAAGGCAGACCCACAAAAAGCAGTGAGATTATTTCGTCACACATGCAGGAACAAGACAGATTGGAAGGCTAAGCAGTTTCAACGGCTTGCATATCTATGCAAAGAAAAGTGGGTTCCATTTTTCATTTCAGTCCCTTGAGATGCTTTTTGTGTAGAGAACTCCACAGGGGGACTAGCAATGGTCATACAGGGGGGTTCAGTCCTGTCTTAAGGGGGTTCGTGGGCCATGGCTTCCTTTCAATCCTATAATTTTGTGGGGAAAAGATCTCAAGAAAATGGACTATTAGCCAGAAGGTAGATGGAATGCTATGTCTGGGGCAAGGGATGCTCTGTATTCTTGATGCCTCGGGGGGGGGGGGCAACAGTGGGAGGGCTTTTGGAGTTCTGACCCCGTTGGTGGACCTCCTGATGGCACCTGGATTTTGGCCACTGTGCGACACAGAGTGTTGGACTAGATGGGCCATTGGCCTGATCCAACATTGGCTTCTCTTATGTTCTTATGGACTGACCTGGCTAACACCAAGCAGGGACCCCAAGCCCCGAGACTAAAACAAACAGATGGATCCCATTCTCTGGCGCAGTCCTAATTTGTTGGCAAGTGATGTGATATTCAGAAATTCACACGAACGCAAGAAACTGAATCAGACCCTCAGTCCACCAAGGTCAATGTTATCTACTCAGACTGTCAGAGGCTCTCCAAGGTCTCAGGCCAGAGGTCTTTCACATCACCTACGACCTGCTCTTTTAACTGGAGATGCCTGGATCTTCTGCATGCCAAGCAGATGCTCTGCCACAGGGCCACGGCCCCTCCCCAAAATTTTAGAAATCCCTTCTGAATAGCCACTGATACGTCTTCTTTAGTGCCTCATCCTTCTAAACTCTTGAAGGAAGATTTAATTTATACCGAAAGAGAAGCCCAGAAAAAGCGAGAAACCTATTACGATTTCTATGCAGATGCTTTAGTCAATCCGGCAAACAGCGAAACAGAATTCCTCTCTCCTTTGCTATTTCTTCGACATTCATAAAAGGTCAACCGAGCAGATGCGGCGAGAACGTGGCAGGCTTTTACAGAGTCGGAGGTTGCGTTCTCCTGGGCGGGCGTCACTTTTTGAGAAAGAAGGAACTCCATGACTTACAGTGGGAACCAGAACGAATAAAGCCATCTTGGCATCCTACACTAGGCCAACTGCTTCGGTATCACGGGAAAGTTCCATGACTTACAGTTCGCCCACGCTGAATGCCGCCAAGAACGAAAAAACTTAATTTTATATGTGAAACTAAAAACGGCAATCGAGAAGAAGAAAACAGCACAATCTCGTGCTTGTAACATTACTTCCCAAAGGGATTCTTCTGAAATGGTTTAATGCATGTGTAGCAAAAAAAAACAAGAGACGGCAGAGGGGGAAGAATTAATTTTAATTCAATTCTCAGATCTCCAAACATTTCAAAATATGCTTCATCAGGGGGATCTGTAAAATATCATACTCTGAACAGCTCCCAGAGCAACAGAGTTTGAGTACACGTACCCGAGCATCTAAGAACACCACCACAATCCAGAACATGATGCCTGGTAATTCCAGAGTGAGACAGTAACATAAGTACATGGGAGAAGTCAATGTTGGATCAGGCCAATGGCCCATCCATCCAACACTCTGTCACACAGTGGCAAAAAATACCAGGTGCCATCAGGAGGTCCAGCAGTGGGGCCAGGACACTAGAAGCCCTCCCACTGTTGTCCCCCCCCCAAGCACCAAGAATATCACATGCCCCAGACTGAGAGTTCCTATCTATACCTTGTGGCTAATAGCCGCTGATGGACCTCTGCTCCATATGTTTATCCAATTCCCTCTTGAAGTTGTCCATGCTTGTAGCCGCCGCCACCTCCTGTGGCAGTGAATTCCATGTGTTAATCACTCTTTGGGTGAGGAAGGACTTCCTTTTATCCGTTCTAACCCGACTGCTCATCAGTTTCATTGTGAGTTCTCGTATTGTGAGAAAGGGAGAAAAGTACTTCTTTCTCTACCTGCTCTATCCCATGCACAATGTTTTGGCTTCGATCCCTGGCATCTCCACTATAAGCAAGAACCGTATGTTGGAAAAGACTTGTCTTTGCCTGAAACTGCGGAGAACCACATCCAACTAGAGCAGACAACTGCCTGACTCAGTATGAGGCAGCTCTGCATGATCCAAGAGCTGCCATATGACTCAAGGGCATTTGGATTTTTCTCCCTTGGAGCAGCGGACCACCACAGCTTCCTGCAAACGGCCCCAAGCGGCTTCCCAAGTTTCAAAAGCAGCTGACCCCGGAGTATGGGACTGTGGCATCAGAACAGAAACCTCGTGGGCTCCAAGCGCAGCCAGGGGTTGCGCTCTTTGTGTCACAGCCTATATCCATTTATCTCAGGTATGTTCAATGAGAAGCTGCGGTGGCTCAGTGGTTAAGACACTGAACTGCAGGCTGGAAGGTTGGTAGTTCAGCAGTTCAAGACCCGAGTGTGCCGCTTGACGGAGTGAGCTCCCGTCTCTAGTTCCAGCTCCGGCCAACCTAACACTTTGAAAGAAAGAAATTGCACGTAGATAAATAGGTACCGCTCCGGTGGGAAGGTAACAGCGTTCCGTGCGCCTTGGTGTTTAGTCATGCCAGACACATGACCACGAAGAAATCTTCGGACAGCGCTGGCTCTTCGGCTTGGAAGCGGAGATGAGCACCGCATCCCTAGAGTCGGATTCGACTGGCTTTCGAGCAAGGGAAACCTTTTACCTCTTACCTATGTTCAAGAATACCTCCACAGGAAGTTCAGAAAACTAGCTAAGGGCCAAAAGTTAAAAACATCAATAGGTATAGACAAAAGTACACGTGTTCATTTCAAAAACATAGAAAAACCCTGTAGGTGCCCAAATAAAGCCTCATAAAATGTTCAAAGTGAGAAATGCAAAAAGAAAAGAAAGAAAAGAAAAGAAAAGAAAGAAAGAACAACACGTGACCACGCATTTCGGATCACAAGAGCCTTCTTCAGAGCTCAAGTAGTACAGAACACAACATGCAACAAAGACCCCGTTACGCTTGTAAGGCAGTAGACAACTGATATAGGACCAAAAATGGAATGTTCCAATCTGGAATTGAATGACACACACTAAGAAAATTTGTTTGTGAGGCCACACGTGTATCTGACCTTATGTCAGAATCAATTCCATATCCTGGAGATAGTAATAGTACCGATACGTACCTTCCAGTTGAGGTCCTTAAGAGTACAAGTAAAATCGCCTTATCAGGGCCAATGTGACATCAATATGTAACAGTCACAGCCAGTGTTCCCTCTAAGCTGAGTTAGTGCGAGCTAGCTCACAGTTTTTTAGCCTCCGGCTCACAGCTTTCTGTCTTCGCTCAGGAAGGAGGGCTCCAGAGTAAACTGATTTATGCAGGAGCCAAATCGCTCGCTCACAACTTTAATGCCAGGAGCTGACGAAGTAGAATTTTTGCTCACAAGACTCCACAGCTTAGAGGGAGCAACACAGCCTACATCCATTTGTCTCAGGTATGTTCACTGAACACACCTGAGAGTCATTTGGCATCTGCACAGATTCTTGGGAGGAGGGCAAAGGGGGGGGGGGACTCTCAGTAGTCGCCACGGAGAATGCGATAAAATCTGCATGGATGGCGTAGAAGACTGGGAGAGGAGAGGTCTGAAATGAAGATGCCTTGGGCGAGACACCCCTGCCCCCCACCACCGCCACAGAGAGGCCAAATCCAGGGAAGAAAGTGACTTCTACAAATGGGCCTTCTCAAGAGTCTAGTTGTCAAATATTTACCTTCACGGCAGCTAAAAACCTGTCCAAGAGACTGACAGCCAGGGCGAGCGTTTCTGGATAAAGGTGGAACTGGCACTTGAGTTTGGTCAACCAATGGATTACTTCATCCCGCTGGGTTGGAGAAATGCCTACATCCTGTTGGGGAGGAAAAAGGAAAAAACCAGATGAGAATCCCAAATGTTTCCAAATACTCGTGCAGGAGAAAGTAATCCACCCTGTGTGTGGACACCCCAAAGCCGTTTTAGCCACATAGGCATAAAAATGATCACATAAGAATGTAAGAACATAGAATCATACAGTTGGAAGGAACCTCCAGGGTCATCTAGTCCAACCCCTGCACAATGCAGGAAATTCACAAATACCTCCCCCCCACACACACACACACACTCCCAGTGATCCCTGTTCCATGCCCAGAAGATGACAAAAAACCTCCAGGATCCATGGCCAAACTGGCCTGGAGAAAATTTGCTTCCTGGCCATAAGAAGAGCCCTGCTGGATCAGACCAGTGGTCCATCTAGTCCAGCATCCCGATTCACACAGTGGCCAACCAGCTCCTCTGGAAGGCCAACAAGACAACATAGAGGCTTTCCCTGATGTTGCCTCCTGGCTCTGCGCGATTAAGAGGATTAGTGCCTCTGAATGTGGAGGTTCTCCTCAGTCACCATAGCTAGTAGCCATTGATAAGATTTCCTCTGCGAATCTATCTAATCCCCTTTTTAAACTACTTACCCCTATTTCCGGATCAATTATAAATAAATTAAATAGAACCGGCCCCAATACCGATCCTTGTGGGACCCCAATGCTGACCTCACCATTGTGAGAGCAAGATAAAAAGAGCACGAAAGAGAAAAAGAGAAAGGAGAGGGCAAAAGAGCAAGAGAAGAGAGGGCAAAAGAGGAAGAGTGAAAGAGCAAAAGAGAAAGAACAAAAGAGTGAAAGAGAAAGAACGAAAGAGCAAAAGAGAAAAATAAAGAGCAAAAGAGAAAGAGAACAAAAGAGAAAGAGTGAAAAAACAAAAGAGAAAGAAAAAAGCAAAAGGGAAAGAGAAAGAGAGAGCAAAAGACCAAAAGAGAAAGAACAAAAGAGCAAAAGAGAAAGAGAGAGCAAAAGAGAAAGGAACAGAGCAAAAGAGAAAGAACGAAAGAGCAAAAGAGAAAGAACAATAGAGCAAAAGAGAAAGAGAGAGCAAAAGAGAGCAAAAGAGAAAGGAAAAGAGCAAAAGAGAAAGAGAGAGCAAAAGAGAAAGAACGAAAGAGCAAAAGAGAAAGCAAAAGAGCAGAAAAGAAAAAGAATGACACTCTAGCCACTGCCCTGCATCTATACAGCACTTTCTCAAAGTGTTTGGCTGCTGCTCCACTGAAGTACAAGAAATACAAGACTGGGGAAGGGCTGTTGCTCCATGGAAGAAGGTCCCAGGTCCAATATCCAGCACCTCCAGTTAAAGGAATCAAGTACGAGGTGATATGAAAGGCCTGTGCCGGAGACCCTGGAGAGCAGCTGCCAGTCAGTCTGAGCAGACAACACTGCCCTTGAGGGTCCACGAGTTTGATTCAGTAGAAGGCAGCTTCAGAGGTACATACGTACATCAGCTGTCAAGTAAAACCATTCGGGGCCATGACAGTGATGCTGCCCAAAGGCAACACGGTGTGTTTTTTAAAAGGAAACGTGTTCCTGGGAAAATCACTGGAGCTCCAAACAAAGTCTCCTTTCCCACGAAATCTCATCTGACTGCAAGGCCGTGACCCCTCGCTCACATTCAAAGGCTCTTATGACTACTGTTCATCTGCGGTAACCGGAGACCCTCCCTTTTCAGCCGGGCTGAGAAAAGATCTGGCCGCAGCGCCTGGAGCAGAATGGATCGCAGCTTGGATCACCTTTAGGTGTCTTTCAAAAGCCACAATAAGCAGCAGGTAACCCATATGGCTGGCCTCCTCTTGGAAGGAACAACTGTTATTGCTGCTCAAAGTAATACCTTGGCACAGCTCTTGAGAACTGCCTGTCCCAGTTTAAAGAGGCCCTTTGGAGAGGGGCCCGATTTCCCCTCATGTCCTCTGGACCAGATACACCTCTTCCCTCCCGGCTTATTACCACAGTTGATGCCTTGGCATTTTCTTCTCGGACGACTTCTGACCTTTTCTCGGAGTACCGAAAAGGAGTCTGCCACCGTAACTCGTGAGTCTGTTTGAAGAGGCTATGCCTTAACAACTGGTTCCCTCCCTCTTTCTCCTACCGCCTTCCAGGTGCTACCTGGAGATCTCCCACTATTACGGGAGCGGTGGCGCAGGGGATTTCCCCCCTGCTTAACTATAACATCTGAACTGCCAAGCTTTGGCAGTTCTAGCCCCGTGCTGGTGTGAGCAACCAAGCCTTGTCCCTAGCTCATCGTCTACCCAGCGATTCGAAAGCTTCGGCAAGTAGATAAATTGGGGACCACCCATAAGGGGGTGGGCACACCACTCCCTTTGGGAAGGTGTTAGCTGCCGAGTGTGTCTTCTGAGGTGCGGCAAGATTGAAAGATGAAAGAGCTGTTTCGGCTTCCCTGCAGTGGAGCGAGTCGGCCAGGCAGTGGCAGTGTGGCAGCACGACATCAAGAAGCCCTGACGTCATCAGCCAGCTGACAAGAATACATGCCGTCGGAACACGACTGATCCAGCCCGCAGATGAAGCCCCGGCTAGCTGCAATGTGTGTGTAATTAAAAATGCTGTATGTTGTCTTCCCTATCCCCCACGAATATTGTTAGTCCAATTGTCAAAGAGTAACTGTAAATCGCTCTGAGCCCACAGGTGTGTGGGAAAGAGCGATCAAAAAATCGAAAGTATTATTATTATTATTATTATTATTATTATTATTATTATTATTATTATTATTATTACGAATGACCTTCAGAGGACCAAGATCATTTCCCCGGCTGCTCTGGATGGGTGGACCCTAAGGCATTATACCCTCCTTTCCCCTCCTCAAGCCCCGCCCCTCCCTGGACTCCACTCCCAAAATCTCCATGTACTTCCCAACCCCGAACTGGCAGCTCTAACCGGCACCCTTTCGTCCAACTGCAGGTCGCTGCCTTACGGCTGAGTGCATGGAAAGAAGTCCAGGCGTGCCAACTACTCCTTTGTCGATCATATATCTAAAAGCGGGGACAGCGCGACAGCATCAGAGACCCAAGCAGTCGCTTAGGACACAACTGTTCCCAGGGGTGCTGAAAAAGCAATATGAGAGCTACAAGGTGCATTTCAGATGCATCTGAAAGCCTTCAGGGAACACTGGGGTGCAGACGGAAACCAGGTAACAAGAAGCACACAGGGAACACTGCTAAGTTAGATAAACACAGAAAACACCGTGTTGAAATAACAAACACGATATTCACATCATGTACTTATAACTAAATATATTTGCTTTTTATACACAACATCAACTCTAGTGTATTTGCAAACACTTTCAAACTACAACATCACATTTCAAGCACTTTCAAACTAAGTTATATAACAGGAAGAGTCCAACTGTCTTCTTCCTGATGGAGGATAAATACCAATGTACAGTTATTTGTACCGAACAATGCAGCAACCTATTGTACGGTTCCCAAGTGATGATCCATCAGGTAGAGCTAGCAGGCAGCTTGTATTTCTCACTGTGATGATTCAGCTTAGCAAGCAAGCCTCGTAGATGTATTTTCCCATGAGGTGATTCAGCTAGCAAGCAGGCCTAACAGCCTGAATAAGTCAGGTTAGAATCTAAGCAGTGCTGACCACAGGGTTGCCAGGTACGCACCACGCACCAGCGGGGGGTGGGAGGAAGACTTCCGAGAGTGGGTCGGGGCTCCGCTCCCAAACAGCAATGTCACTGACACAGTGACGTCGGGCAGAAGTGACATCATCATGTCGTGGATGCTCTGGTTTGAGGGCAAAACTCTATGGGAGAATAGCCCTGAAACCATAGAGTTTTGCCCTCAAACCAGAGCGTTGCCACGCGATGTCCCCGGTGGGATGACATCACTTCTGTATGACGTCATCACACTGGTGACATCACACAGCAATGTTGCTGTTTGGGGGGGGGGTTCCCCTCGCCGGCCAGCTGCGGGCAGAAGTCCCCAAAATGGGGGGGGCTTCCCCACCCAGACCTGGGGAATGGCAACCCTAGTTGGCCATAGGTAGTCTTTGGATGGGAGACCAGCAAGGGAGACCAGGGTCGTGACGCAGAGGCAGGAGGCAGTGGCAAACCACCTCTGCTCGCCTCTTGCCTTGAAAACTTGAGGGGCTGCCGTAAATTGTTCATGTGCGCCCTCTCTCTGTAATGCACTATGTCATGTCATAAGAACATAAGAGACGCCAATGTTGGATCAGGCCAAAGGCCCATCTAGTCCAACACTCTGTGTCATACAGTGGCCAGAAATACCAGGTGCCACCAGGAGGTCCACCAGTGGGGCCAGGACACTAGAAGCCCTCCCACTGTTGACCCCCCCCCAAGCACCAAGAAGACAGAGCATCACTTGCCCCAGAGCCCCTAGCTATACCTTGTGGCTAATAGCCACTGATGGACCTCTGCTCCATATGCCTATCTAATTCCCTTTTGAAGCCGTCCATGCTTGTAGCCGCCACTACCTCCTGTGGCAGTGAATTCCATGTGTGAATCACTCTTTGGGTGAAGAAATACTTCCTTTTATCCATTCTAACCCGACCGCTCAGCAATTTCATGGAGTGCCCACGAGTTCTTGTATTGTGAGAAAGGGAGAAAAGTACCTCTTTCTCTACCTGCTCTTTCCCATGCATAATCTTATAAACCTCAATCATGTCACCCCTCAGTCGTCGTTTCTCCAAGCTAAAGAGCCCTAAGCGCCTTAACCTTTCCTCATACGGAAAGTGTTCCAACCCTTTTATCATTCGAGTTGCCCTTTTCTGCACTTTTTCCAAAGCTATAATATCCTTTTTAAGGTGTGGTGACCAGAACTGCACACAGTATTCCAAATGAGGTCTCACCATTGATTTATACAGGGGCATTATGATATTGGCTGATCTGTTTTCAATACCCTTCCTAATAATCCCTAATAATGTCATGTCACTATGTCATGCTTGGCCTCTCTCTGTAGTGTGCAAATATGGAAATTGCATGATCGGATGTCTTTCAGGGTCTGCTGTG